ATCATCTCCTTGTAGATTGACATCTGCTCCTGCCTTTAGCAATTCATTCACTATACTCAAATATCCACCACGACATGCTGATATCAGTGGTGTATAAAACTCACCTTTCAGATTAACATCAGCTCCTGCGTCTAGCAGCTGCTTCACTGCGCTCAAATGTCCACCCTCACATGCTCCAATCAGTGGTGTTTTAAACATACCCTCTATGTTAACATTAGCCCCTGCTTTTATCAGGTCCATCATTATACTTATATCTTCACCATTAGCTGCTGCTGTTAGCGGTGTTTCAATTTTACTTTGTAAATTAACATCGGCCCCTGTTTTATTAGCTCCTTTACTAAATTCACATATCCACCATTAATTGCTGCTGTAAGCGGATTATTAAGTTCACTGTGTGAATTAACATGAGCCCCTGCCCTTAGCAGCTCCTTCACTATACTCTCATATCCACCCTTACATGCTGCTGTCATTGGTGTATCATTATCGACTTCTAAATTCACATCAGCCCCTGCCCCGATTAACTCCTTCACTATACTTTCATCTCCAAAATTACATGCTGCTGTCAACGGAGTATCATTTTTACCTTGTAGATTAACATCAGCTCCGGCACCGAGCAGCTCCTTCACTATACTCATATGTCCACCCCTACATGCTGCTGTTAACGGTGTATCATATTCATCTTTTCGATTCACATTAGCACCTGCCCGAAGTAACTCCTTCACTATACACACATATTCGCCCTTAGATGCATCTATACCGAAAAGTTCAACCAAATATCCAACCCTACATGCTTCTATCAGCGGTGAATCAAATACACCTTCTGGATTTACATCAGCCCCTTTCCCTAGCAGCTCCCTCACTAAATTTATATGTCCACATTTACATGCAGTTGTCAGTGGTGTAGCAAACTCACCGTTTAGATTAACTTCGGCTCCTGCCCTTAGCAGCTCCTTCACTACATTCACATGCCCACCCCTACACGCTGCTATCAGTGGCGTTTTATATTTACCTTGGTAATTGACACAAGCACCTGCCTCTACCAGATCCTTCACTAAATCCATATGTCCATTTTCACAGGCGCAAGTAAGTGGTGTTTCGAACTCAGTTAGTGGATTAATATTAGCACCTGCCCTGAGCAGCTCCTTTACGATCGTCATGTATCCATACTTACATGCAAGAGTCAATGGCGTTCCATATTCTTCGTATGAATTAACATCAGCCCCTGCCCCTATCAGTTCCTTTACCACATTCAGATGTCCACTCTCGCATGCAGCTTTAAGTGGTGTATCATCAGTCATTTTTTCAGAATCCAAATATTGAGACCACATGTCAATTGCATTTCTTTTCAGATAATCAATAAATATTCTTACAATTTCTAAATTTCCATTGTAACAACTCAGCAGCAATAAACGTTGTTGTTCAGAAATAGATCCATCAATGTCAAAGAAGCTGAATGACCATAAATTTGTTGAATTATTTGCTGCCAAGCTCATTTCCCCATGTTTTTTTGAATAGTTTAAATCAGGATTAAAAGTACTCAAAAATAGTTCACACTCGGTTTCTTTTAAAATATATTGTAGGATCTGATTGTGTCCATAGTAAACCACCCAACTGATTACCCTCACACTGAATGTTCTTCCTTTTATAAAATTCTCATTAACTAACAATCTCTGTCTGCACCACTCCCTGCTCCTTATATCCCTCTTTCTACTTTCCTCCCTCACACGCTCTCCTGTACTCACTACCTTAGACACGTCTTTCTGTACAGACAGAAATAAAGACTTTAACTCGGTATGGGACTTTGTCTTCAACACCTCAATAAAAGCCTGACATACCTTCGGGTGTTTTAAAACATTATTCATAAAAACATCATAAAGTTCCATATTTTCTATATCTCTGTACAAACGCTCTGCTAACAAAGAGTACTGATCCTCCCCTAACCTTATACAGAGATCAAATGACTCCACACCATCACTGTTTTTAGCACTTAAAGTCTCCTTCTCATCGTTTTGTGAACTTTCACAAGCAGTGTTGATTTCATTTTTATCCCCACTACTGACTGCAACATTTTCACTCTCTTGCTTATTTTCATTCTCTAATTCAAGCATTTCATCTTTTTGAAGCTTTACGTAGTTAGCAATATAACTACTACTCATGAATTGTAAAATGAGATTTGGGAACTGAGAACCAAAATGATGAGCAATAATTTCAAACACAGAGTCATGAATAAAAGTATACTCAGAACCACAGAGTTTAGTATATGTCCCCTCCATTACTGATAATGCATCAACAAATTCAAAAACGTCTGTGTAACTTCTTACTTTACAACTATTTAATGCTTTTGATTTCATTTCACAGAAAACTGTATTCTCTGTGTCTTGTATTATTTCTTCTGATAATTTATTGTCATTTAACAGGCATAAGACCAACGTAGCATAATGTAATCTATTTTGTTCTTTCATTTTGTCAAATTCCTCTGAAATGTATCTACCTGGACAGGTAAAAAAACGTTCAACATTGTTTCTAAATTTCTCCTCTTTTGAGTATAGTTTACACAACAAAGGAAACATTGGCGATGCTTCTCTAAGTAATGTAGAGGACAATAAATCTTTATCCAAGCCATGTTTCTGAAGAATATCTTTTTTGTCATCATCATTCAATGCATTGTCTGAACTTAACATTTTGATTACATTTTCCTTATTTGAGAAAAAAGATTTGTAGCATTCATTAAATACAGCTTCCCTGCATGACATCAGTACCTTTGTATGTCTGGAAAGATCTGAAATAATTTTTTCATAGTCAACTAAAGTCTCCAACTTTTGTTTTTGAAGACCCAACACACCTACCACATCATCAATGACAAAAACCTGAGGATTATGGGAGTCAAAATAACGGCAAATCTCACTGATGTCTATAATTGGCACAACCTCATAACCTTCCTTCTGGAGTATCAGGGCTATGTGGTGAATCGTTGCTGATTTTCCAGATCCCGGTACACCAACAAATGTCATATAAGGTTGTCTCCTGACTTTATTCAGCATCACTTGGAAAGTGTGAGTTTCACTGTAAACATCATCTTCTTCTCTCCATTTTATCACTTGTCTTTCATGAAGATCTGAAATAATATTATACGAAAATTTAATGATACTAGTAAATTTAGAGTTCAAAAATACCTTAAAGTATACGATAAGCGTGTTGAACATTCATGGTCACTTAACTATGGTGGGAATTTTTGAAATTGTACTTCAATACAAATTGCAAAACATGCATGCATAACTGGACCTCTACCAGATACCGAATCAATTAAAGTAGTGTAAGGATCTTAGAGAAGGATATAGAGATAACGAACAGTATTCAATCTCAAAGTCCACAAAACAATACAAGTTAGAAGCAGAGCAAATACGGACCCCTAAACATCAGAGGTGGGATCAGATGCCATGGAGGAGTGAGCATCCCCTGTTGACCGGTCACACCGACCGTGTGCTCCTTGACATGATCGGAAAATAACGGGAAAATCCGACGTCATTATAGTTTATAAATAATAGACTAACAATTAGTATGAAAAACGTCTGTCAGCGTTTGTTTCAATGATAAATTGTATTTGCCGACAAGGTCATTGTATCGACTATAGAACTTACGAAATGATGACTTTAAACGAGACTGTTGATATTCTTGTTTCATCAACTTGTTTGTCAATAATTTACCTCGTTTTAGAAAATGTTCATATGTAGAGCATGCTCTTGCGTATCGAATTAATTGAGATATATACACTCCGTATGCAGGTGATGAAGGTATATTGCTGCAAAAGTAAGGGAAGTTGACGATAGAAAAATTAAAGTCATCACTTTTATCATAGAGCTTGTTTTTTTTTACTACAATGATACAAAGGAGATCAGGTGCCAAGGAAGAATAAGAGATATCAAACTGCTACATGTTAAATGTAAAAAAAAAAAAAAAATCAAATGTTAAAGGGTCCTGCTTAAAATCTTGTATGTCAGCATTTTTCTAATTCAAATTAATTAACATCTAACACTCAAAAATAAAATCACAATAATCTTATGAATTCAGCTTAGTTAATACATGCATACTTTGCAGATTTGTACTTGCCTTTAACATTTGGAGGGATAACATATAGTAGTTCCTCGATTTTATCTGAAAAAAAAAGATTTTCGTTGTCAATTTATAAACTTCTCTATTAAGGCAATTTACAAATCAAAGCTAAATGCCATTACTGTAAATAACTTTTTATTCACGAAAACTTTGTTTTCGCGTAATAACGCAAGACAACGTATCGCGAAAATTTGATTCTCGCGTATAATAGTATTCCTTAAGAAAATATACAGCAAGAACCACAATTCGAGAAAATTTTGTCTCGCTTATCAAGAGTCTATGACTATCTCACGAAAATAAGTGTCGTCAAAATTTTGTGATCTACAGTATTTAATATACATAAGCCCTCTCTATGGAGATTATATACAGTGCCCAATCCATTTATGTATTTTTCAAATTCAAATCAAATCAAATTTAATATATGTATTAACAGATATCTTGGCGAGCTTGAGATAAAATATACCATAGACTCTGACACATCAGTTTCATGTTTGGATAATTTATGTGAAAAGACGTTAATGGTAATGTAACAAATACATGTATTAATGATTTTTTTCATTTTCATATTTAATGTCACAAAAATTGCAAAAATTAAACAACTATTTTCAGACTTTCGTAGGGAAAAAGAAATTAAAATCAAAAGTAACCGATTGAATGAAAACGGACATTGTTGACCTAAGTGACTCAAATTAAACTGACCTGCATGACTTTGAACCGTTTTGCACAATTCATCGATAAGTAAAAGTTTATCAATATATTTGGCCTCTATTTCTGGATCTATGGAACATGTTCTTATATTGTTCACAGCATCTTTATAAACGGACAAAGTTCCAATGTGTTGTCCTAACTCAACGGCAATATTGTAAATGTTTTGCCATTCCTTTATAAAGTTTAAATCTGAAAGAGAAAAATCTGCTGCATGTCCATAGTACTTGTTTCTCGTTAGTCTGATTCTTTCTATGTTGGCAGATACACTATTATCCGTTGGATCGGGTTCTTCTCCCCTTCCGTTATTGTGTGGAGGTATTTTACACACGTTACGTAGAAGAATATAAAGCAAACTAATGTCAAAATCTGAATAATCCCCGCCATAATGTTTGGTTGGCAGCGGAAAAATGAGAGCAATTTGTTGTTTATTTAGAGAACTATTCTGTTTCTTCTTTTTTATATCATCAACCCAAGTTTTGACAGTTTTTGATAAATTGGAAGGCGCTATGTTTCTTTTGAGAATATCACGCAGCAGATCGGTGCATGGACCAAGGATTAGTCTTGCTACCCGGGCAAGGTTTGTGGTTTCTGGAGTAGACTTGTACTTTGATGACGTTGTTTTATTGACATTTTTTGTCGTTGAAAATAACTGTAAATGAAATTGCCAAAAAGATAAGTTAGACTAAAAGTCAAATTCAGCAATATGTATGCCTAATGTTCTGTTTAGCAATATAAATGTATAATACAAAACATCAACGGAAATCGAGTCATAAGGGTCAATTTTGCGCTTTTAATGTCACATAGATGTTACTTAAAAACAACAAAAGTCTGTTTAAATGTTGTTATACGGTGATACCCAGAATTAAAAGAGTGCTATGGTTTTGAACAAAGAATTACCATAATGGCAAGAAGAACAAGTGATTAATTTGAAAACCTATAGTATGAAAGATACATTAGTATATAACAACATATGTATGCATTTTACAAACAAATTCTTCTCAGATAAAAAATCAAAAAATACATTTGTAATATAAAGTGTTTGTTTCATAGCATACAACATTACAAAGTTTCCATTTTTAGAAACGCGTGTGAAACTACCTAATAACTGACCTGATAGTCCCCTGTCCTTTTCAATAAATATAAGATCAGCACACACAAAGTTACAACTATGATTGCCATCCGTCCAAAGTCAAAGAAACAAAATTGTCTCCACATAGAGTACATCTTAGTGTGTGCATCGAAAATTAAATTGACTGACTGCAATAAAAGTAAAATAGATATATAAGGCAATAAGGACTGAACTTCTTGTTTTGATCTTTCCAAATCTTATTATCTTGTAATGTAGAGGCAAGTAAGAATAATGAGAAACCTTGTTTGACATACTCAAACGATGGTCACATTCAGCGTCACAGTAGCCAAGTATCAAGAAAACTTTATCAAACATGAGCTTGTAATTTTGTAGACAAAACGGTTGATTGTATTTTGTTTAACATCCCTCTTGAGAATTTTTCACTCATATGGAGACGCCATCACCTGCAGATGAAGAGCTTCAGACTTTTTGTCCTTTACTCGCCACACATGGCCATTGTTTTTTAAAATAATATGTATTTTCTATGCAACTACTAATTAACCGATACATGGAAATGTGAAAACAAATTATTTGGCTCCATGCATTAAGTCCGGCGAGGGTCTTGGAGATAAATGATTTTACAAGTTGAAGCCCTAATTGAGGACAGAGGATACAAACAATTTTTATCTTTGGAGGAGACTTAATACCATTTCACAAGATTAGAAAAGTGGATAATTCCTAGAATTTTTTCTCCTAAGAACTTAAAAATGAAATAGACTTGGAAAATACTAGTAATCAAAGTACTCAGAAGAACAGAAAGCCGGGCTCTTTTACAGAGTAGAATGGATTTCTTACATGAATCACGTTTATATTCTGATGAAAAAAATTATTTTAAACTATAATCAAATCGACACTGACAGTGAGTTTAACAATCCTAATGCACGGGGCAATTTTGTAACATTAATACAAAAACACATGTCAAAAAGGTTGTGTAACTGCTTTACCTCTATATGGATGCACTATGGTAATACTGATTATCAAAAATCCTTACGCTAATGAACTGTGTTCATTCAACATTTTTAAAGAAGTAAACTTTTTTAGATTCCACCTCTGATGTATCGGAGGTCAGTGTTCTGTTCCTATTTTGTATTGTTTTTAATGGACTTTGATATTTAAAACTTAAAGGTTTTCCATAACCTTGAAAAAATTGTTGCACACTTTTTTTTTTTAAAAATCGCTAAGAGAAACATAATATATTTACTTCCATAAAGTGAATCTGTAAAATATATATGTTTTGTAAAGCAGATCTAATATATAAATTTGCTTATCATTTGCATCGAAAAAACGACATATTTTTTTTGGAAGTAAATTTGCTGTGATTTTATTGCACAATTTGTGTTTTATATTCTAAAATTAAAAAATATATACATTTTATATATAGGTGATGTATGAAAAATAATTTATATTTTACAACTTTTATTTGAAAATAGAACTATTTATTAAATCATTTCAATGATTTTGATGTGATTTTTATCCGACTACAAGTTTTCAAAATATTACAGCGACTATCGTCTCCATCAATTTGACGAAAAGCCTTTTTAAACATTTAAATATTTTTTAAAATAATAGAATGTATTTTTAATGCAGCTACCAATTAACCGTTACATGGAACTGTGAAAACAAATTATTTGCCTTCATGCATTAAGTCCGGCGAGGGTCTTGGAGATAACTGATTTTACAAGTTGAAGCCCTAATTAAGGACAGAGGATACAAACAAAAATCTTTGGAGGAGACGTTAAACCATTTCACAAGATAAGAAAAGTGGATAATTCCTAAAATTTTTTATCATCTAAGAACTTAAAAATGAAATAGATTGGAAAATAACTCTACAGATAATCAAAGTACTCAGAAGAATTTTGTCAGAAATTCAGTGAATTGTCATGCCGGAGTTTACAAATTTCTACATGAGAAAAATTTTATATTCTGATGAAAAAAATTATTTTAAACTATTGCTAGTATTTTTATTAATTATTTGTAATAGTTACCTTAAACATTTATACTCAGTTCCCTTAAATGGTGTAAATTGAAGAAAAAAATCTATCTCTAAACGTGTAAGTCTTTTAATTGTAAAGAAATAACAGTCGCAAAATTGTTTATATACATTTAATTAATACTTTATTTCATTAAAAAACAATTTCAAGGGCTATAATGGAAAGATAACTCTTGTTCATTGATGCAAAAATCCTTTACATGCTAAGAAAACAATGTGTTATTCTGATTTAAAAAGTTTTCAAAGTCATGTTTACTACCAATGATTATTTTGTATGAGAGAAAATATTACTTTTATATATACCTCATATTTCTAATTTAATTTTGAGATTAAAAATAATTTATCTTTCTAATGACCGTATCATATTTTCTTCACATCATGATTTGACATATTATTCATTTCTGAAAAAGTAAGCAACGCTTCATACTTCAAACTATTTCCTATTTGAATTTAATGTTAAAGTTGTTGATGAAAATCGATATTTTGAATTTTAAAAAAAAGTCGTGAAAAGTGGAGCAGAGGGATATTGTCCCTTAAGTGCTCTATCGTTCAGAATTAAAAGACGGTAGAATTGTTTGAATAAAATTTCAGTTAGAAAGAACTTGTATGTTTGGATTTCCTGATTACACAGATCATACTGTGTCGCCAAAATGTTTACTGTGTCACACGCATAAAATTTTAATTATTACTCGAAACCAACACAATAAAGCATGGGGAAAACGGTATTGTTTGTTGTTTCTGCATTTTAAATTCTGTACCAAATGCACGTCCGCCATTTTCCTTTGATTCAATATTTACATAGCGACGCACACAGATTTCCATAAAGTTACTCGTCTGTTGGTTTTTACCTGTGTAGTTTTTGATGTCTGTGATAGGGATATACTAGATAGCATGTAATGTAATACACAAATACATTGCAGTGCTAAAAGTTATGAATCAGTATCGAATAAACTTGAAAGGAATAACTTTTGACAAAAACGTTTTACTTCAACCCTCCAGTTTATTAGTTTGATCCCCAAGAAGTTAAGGAACTTCCGAGGGATCAATCGCCTAAACAATGGGCATACAGACAAACCGGTTAGCCAAAAATTAATTCATTCAATTAATCCCATTTCAAATGGGCTATTATATTCCATTTGGGCAATTGTTCCGAACCTGTTAAACTGACTTTAAATGAAATTCAACTTTGTGTAAACACAAAAAAACATGGCGGGCAGTCTACATTTTACAAAATAAATATCTATGCTTGCTGAAAAAGCTATCAAAACATACACTTATCAATATATGATATAAAACTACTTACATTTTACAGGTAAAGCTTGCCTTAAAGTCATGAAATGTATCGTGTGAAATCAAGCCTTACAAGTCTGACTTTAGAATAGAACACTGCTCTATTTCCTATTACAAGACTTAACTGACTTTTAGTTAATGAAAACCATTTACCCAAAGTTCAATCTATTTTTATAAAACCATACACGTTGGTATATTGAAGAAAACACAAAGTATATTCGAGTAAGATAATGAAAATATCTACAAATACTTAGGTTAACCTCCTCCTCCTTGGTAAGAAGTGTGGATGCACTGGTCAGTAAAACTATTTCAAAGTCCTAGCTAGTAGCTAATAATCTATGATTCTGTTTAATAATGCAGTTAAAATATAGTTAAAAATGCATGGCATTTATGTTAAAAAACAATTAGCGTGTGGACATTACGTCCTGCGAAACGTAAGCAACCGTGTGTACCGGCCTTATGATAATAAAATTGCAAAGATAAAATAAAACAAATACAGCGGGGCCGCTCCACGTTAAGTAAAGGCAGGTATGAACTAACGAAAACAAGAGTTACAATATTTTAAAGATCTATAACTCCTAACACTCTTTCTCAGTATACACAGGGAAAATCAATTCGTACTTCGTTAAGCAAATTAATAAAATTATTGAAGCTCAAATGACGATACCCCCCAAAAGGGAAAATCTCTCATTATCTTATATTCGTGCAACTAAATTTCTTCTTTGCATGGAATTAAATCAGAGTGCTTATAAATCTTTTAAACCCTGGCTATATGTAGCATGGGTAACCACGCAAAAAAAAAATAAGTAATGTATGTTAAGTTGACTGTCAAAAACCAATTTCATTGTTCAAATATGAATGTAATGATGATAATCGTGTACACTATAAAGAGGTGGCGATTTAAGAGATGTTTGTATTGTTTTCGTTAAAATAAAACATTTCTTAAACTAAAAAGTGAGGGAAAATGAGATTAAAGCCTTTTTCATTAATTTGATCGAAAAAAAATGAACTTCCGTAAACTGTAGATTGCATAAATTCATAACTTAATGTTGAAAAACGATGTGCATATCATCTGCATCAAATAATGCACCAAGATTTGTGAACAAACATGTCGTTATCAAATTGCACGTGTTTTGGGCTTGCTACATTCTACATTAGCGTTTTCCGTACGTGACGTCATAAATTTTACGGTTGAGTAATTCTGAATACTGATTTTGATATGACTAAATTTTCTGACCAATTTTCGTAATTTTCGGTCTTGTGGTAAAATTTTTATCGACAATTATGCTACCCTGCGTTTCTTTTTCCTTTCAGTATACTTGTTTCCATTCAATAAATGCCTTCAGTTTTTTTTAATCTAATAGACGTTGACACCTTGTCAGAATGGAACAAATGATAACGATGTTAAAGTTACATATTAAAAGATTTTTTTAAATTCTATATATTTTATTTTTGACTTTAACACATACTTATGCAGCTATATACCTTCATCACATGCACAGAGTATATATATATTTGATTCGACACGCAAGACATTCAATGAACAATTTCTATAACGAGGTAAATTATTGACAAGCAAGTTGATGAAACAAGAATATCAACAGTTTCTTTTATCATTTTATATTACAATGACCCTGTCAGCAAATACAATTTACCATTAAGTCAAATGGAACAAGCTCATGTAGGCTCAGTGATTGATGTCCGTAAACTTTTAAAGTCACTGGGCCAATTTTGACCAAACTTGGTACAAAGATCCTTGGGTGAAGGGGAATTAAAATTGTTAAAATGAAGGGACATATAGGGGAGAAACCATAAAATATCTTCTTCTGTATGGGCCAGTAAAGGACTAATGTGGAAGACTGGGGTTGTAACTTTTCAAATCATCAATGGGGAATCAAAGTTTTATATAGAAATATATAGGAAAAATCTTTGAAAATCTTCTTCAAGAACCACTGCAGAAAAGCTGAAGCTTAATATATCCTGGTATAATGTAGATTCTAAATTGTTTAAATCACCGGGAGAAGGGTGGGGCCACATACAACGTTTTACATAGAAATATATATACTTTGAAAATTTGAACCACTGGGCCAGAAAAGCTGAAACTTATGTGGAAGCATCCTGGTGTAGAGCTAAATTGTTCAAATCATACGTATGGGGAACAAGTTTTATATACGAAATATATAGGTAAATTATTGAAAACAAGCAAGTTGATAAAACTAAAAGAATATCAACATGGGGTATCAAAGTTTTACATAGAAATATATAGGAAAAAGTCACTGGGCCAGAAAATTTCGTAAGTTCTATGGTCTAAATTGTTCAAAAAATGACCCTGTCAGCAAACAAAATTTTATATAATATATGAAAAATCTTTGAAATGCTGAAGCTTATGTGGAAGCATTCTGTGTAGTGTAGATTTTTGTAGGAATCATGACCCCCAGGGGAAGGGCGGGGACTTATTGTTAGAAATATATAGGAAAAATCATTATTTATACACTGAATTGCCAATGGAAGGATCGTTTTTTTCAAAATGTTATTTCCATATCATGACAAAGAGCACACGATGTGGTGGCCTCTTGTTTAGTCATATTTTTCTAGCTATTTATACACTAAATTCATTTCCCGAGAATGACAATGAGCACGCGGTGAGTGTGATGCTCATTCCTCCGTGGCACCTGATCCCACCTTTGATGTTCCACACAAAAGTTCTTTATAAAACTATTTGACATTCAATTTAAAGAAGATGGTAAGCATTCGAGCTATCGGTTATTTCTTTAGAATATGTAAGACAATAACAACACAGTTAATTTTATTGTCAATTCATACTTAAAGGAACTCATGTTTTGAAAAAAATAGATTTTAGACCAAAATATATATAAAATCAAAATTACTAGTATCTTAGATTTCCAAAATAGATGAGCCTAGAAAAAGGAGATTTTTTAAGCCTTCGAAGAAATATATGGATGTACTGAACAGTACTCAAGCTCAAAAGTTTATTAAACAATATAAATTTTAAGCAGGGCAATAACAGACATCCATAGCATCAGAGGTGGGGTCATGTGCCATGGAGGAAGAAGCATCTACTGAACTTTTGTGAGAAGCACGGACTTTTTCAGTTGACGGTTAAGCTGGACATTTAAAACTGTATCGTACGGAGGTACAAAATTGATAATGCATAAGAAAACCTTTCTAGTGGTCATAGGTATGGTGTTAGTGGCGTTAACATGTGAAGACCGGGAGTTAATGGTAGGGTGGTTTTCTTCAAGGACAACACATTTAAGCATTGAAGAAGGATAAGGAAGTAACGAATAGTATTCAGTCTCAAAGTCCATAAAACAATACAAAATAAGAGCAGAGTAAACACAGACCCCCAAAACATCAGAGGTGGGATCGGGTGCCATGGAGGAGTGAGCATTCCCTGCCGACGGATAATTTTGTTAAATTAAATGTTAAGCTAAGTATTATATCGTAAATAGCTTCCGTACATTGTCCTAGTGTAAAAGTAAACCGTCCACTATAACACTCAGCGCTCCTCGTAAAACGTCCACTGCTGACCGGCTACACCCGCCGTGTGCTCTTTGTCATGTTCGTGAAATAACGGAAAAATTCGTCATCAATACAGTGTGTTAATAATGGACTAACAATTTGTATGAAAAAAACTAAGGTAAACGTTTTTCTCAGTGTCAACTACTTTGAGTACCAATTCTTATACTACATTTTCGGTAGATTTCTAAGAGTGGAGGGGCCAACCAGGCTTTCAATTAACATTTCCTATAGTGTAAGTAAGGTTGGAAAAAAGTGCCCCCCCCCCCCGGATACTACGCCCCTGTGTTTTATGTAGTTCGCTTTTGTATTGATTCTCCAAATTTTTATTCTTTATTTTTATTGTGCTTTTGAGCTTTATTACTGTTCCTTATCTCAATATTTTATGTAAGAATGTATCCCAGTGCTATTTTAGGTTTAATTATATTCAATACTAAGAATATTTTTAAATTGGATATTTTAAAAAGTTTGATGAAAGTATGATAAGAAATAAGAGTGTATCTAAGTGAAAATTTATTAATCACCACTCACAAATTTACCTGAGACAAAATTTTAAAAGAAAAGAAAAGTTTTAACCTCATTTACTGGTTCTCGCACAACTAAATGTAAGCAAATTGAACAAATAGGAGATAGGAATAGAAAACAAAACCTGTTAGAAAAAATCATTCATGAAGGATATGGAGATTGCAAACAGTATTCAATATCAAAGTCCATAAAACAATAAAAAAAAAAAAACAGGAGCAGAGAAAACAGGGACCTCCGAAACATCAGAGGTGCATGTATTTGATGACATGGAGTAGTGAGCATTCACTGCTGACCAGTCACATCCGGCGTTTGCTCCTTGTCATACTAACTATTAATATAAAATGACGAGATGACGAGATCAAACTTCTGGATGGAAAAAGCATCCCCGTCACATTCTCCAGTACGTGTTAATCATAAAGACTGAGTATAACAACCGTGATAGTTCGTATGAAATTTGTGTCCTATCAAACAGTTAAGGTATGCTTTGTTGTTATTGTACTAGTGAAGTTTTATGAAGAGACTTACTTTTACATTCGAAGCTGACTTTTACATTTTAGTCATTGGAGTAGGTGTCTGTTTAAATTGCAGAAGTCAGCCGTCGATTGTAAAAGTAAGTCTCTTCATAAAATTCCAGTAGTTGTGTTGTTTTTTCAGGTCGATCACTGTTTATCTTTTCATCTAAACTTGACCACGGAATGTTCTGCTATCTTGATCTTTACACAAGGATATATGTATTGATCAAATAATATGTGTCAATATTATAATTGAGATTGAAGAAGAATATATATTTGTCAGGGAAGTATTTCCCTACTGAATTCGTTGGGAACGAAACTATATTTTTTATTATTTAAGCTATTAAAATTCATTCTGTCTCAAAATGAAAAAAGATGCATACCGGTAAATAAACTAGGGTATAAATGCGTAAATCACACAAACTTGTCACGTAGGAGTATATAATGAAAGGACTAGCGCATTCACAAATCATTCATAGAACTGAAACATATGTTTTATTAAAAAAGAGTCACGCACAGTAATTGGATTTTTCGTCGATTAGGTAATGGTCAAGTTACTTTTAAACAATTTTCTCATCGTACATTTCCTCGCATAATAATTAATGGAAATCCAAATAAGTGTCACTGTTGAGTTAGTAAAAAAACACAACAAATGTAATAAATACTATACATCAAAAAATGGTTCATAAACGTTGCTTGTACCAAATTAGTATTTAGTGTCTTCTGATCTCACGCATATTTACTTTTACTTTCCTTTGTGGATTTTTTTCTTTCTGTTATGTTCCTCATCTGTTAAGAAAATAGAAATAATAACTTAGAAGTATTAAAGTAAAATTAAACATTCTTTTGACTCCCAAACCTAAATATGTACATTGTAAAACACATGTTTTAAGATGTAAGTAAAAATGATATAAAACACATCATTTATTTTAAAATGGACATAAAACAATGTTTTTTTTAAAATGCTTGATCTTTGAACAGAGCAAAAAATATACCCAAGGGTATTTCAGAGGTGGGATCAGGTGCATAGGACTAGTAAACATCCCCCCTTGTCCGGACACACCTTCCGTGATCCCGATGTATGATTGACTTACCTAGTGGCGTCTGACCATCATCAACGTTTCCTTTACGGACGTTCCATTCTTAATGGGAGGATTCCAGGGCTTTTTCCAGTAATCCTTACCCCAGGGACCGTTGAGGAAGGCATGGTGGCATATGTTAAACCACCAGCCGCCTAAATTACCACACCTTCCTCTGCTCCAGTTATCGTTGTCTCTGTCGGGGGTACTGAAATACATACCGTGCAGGTCAATGTAATGTAATCCCGTGTTTGTCATCCTGTTACCTGAAAAATGGAAAGAAAAAACGCAGTAAATACGTACTACGTCAGACCACATCAAGTTGAATTCTGTTCTTTATTTTATACCAAGCTTGTGTCTTCCCACAGATTTTTATCAAAATAGAAAAAAGAGTCATAACACCAAATTTTCTATTTTAAGGAAAAATTATGGGAAGACACTTGTAACACGACATTTAATACTTGATATCGCGATTACTTAACTTAGCGGAACTCTTTCGCGAAGCAGGTAGGAATCGTCTGTTGGGTGGGGGCAATGTGCTATTCAATACAATGCAAGATCGATCATCGTAGCATTTATAAGGACAGATAAGTTAAAATATCCTGGTGGAATACCTCGCTAAACAGTCGCTGAACCAGCCTAATATATTTCTGAGAGAATCCAATTCTAAATTGTCACAAATTTAACGATATATTTAATTAAGCGGACTCTTCTCGTTAAATTTAATTGAAAATCGTCACATTTTTTAAGCAGATAAAATATTCTAAACTTTCCTTATTTGACAATATACTATTTGGAGTTCAATATCTGGCAAAACATCGTGATTTCGACATTAAATTGTTCAAATCATTCGATTGTCACTACTGTAAGCAATGTCATTTGCCCCCAGAAATTTAGACTTTTCTCGACTCCCCCGCAAAAGAGCGGTAGTAAGTTAGATAACTGCGAGGTACTCATTGGTAATCGCGATATAACGTATTGGTAAGTAAGCCAAGTACTCCCGCCTTGGTCCGGGGGTAAATAACGTGGTGTCACAATGCATGGATTCTATAACACAACGCAAATATTATGAGGTCATGATACATTGTAAACACCATTGATTGACCTTGGGAGTAACAAAAATTGGTAACTGGTAACATAGGAAATGAATTCGTTTTCCTGGTCTAATAAAGATGTTCGGGGATTTGGTCCCGGTTCAATTCCATATATCCTTCAGCCTCGGGCACTCATTCATATATAGTATTTGAGTGACTGTGTACAGCTCGGACTGTATATAATACAAAACTGTTTTAATATTTGTATTTTATTACAAAATTTATCACATGGACAAAAAAGAAACTTGCACTTATATCTTATCTAAAATATGATGAATTTAAGATCAATGCCTTTTTATGAAAAATAAAAGTATCCCAAGATACGGTATCAAAAACCAGATTTTGTCAAATGTTTTTTTTTTTTTTACACATTTGAATAATAAGTATGATTATACTTCTGTTAAATCAGTTCAGAAGGTAAAATAACTATCCTTTATAGTCCAAGCATAGCAAAGTTAAACCCCGGGGTATAGTTTTTGCTATCCATCCTTGGAAAATTTTCATGCAATTATAGCCGCCGAGTTGAATTTCCAGAGATAAATCTTTCACCTGATGTCATCATGACTTCAGTAGAATTGTGACGTCATCAGGATTTCAGATTATTCTTCAGAATTACCTTACCCCCAAAAATTAAAACCTCAGAAATTATACTATACATCAGTATAATAAAACGCCTATCTACTGGTTGAGAGTGGGATAGCTCTTTTATTAAACCTTTTATAGCTCTATTATCAAACCTCGGGCAAGCCCTCAGGGAATAATTCTCTGTCCCTGGTTTGATAGATGAGCTATCCCACTCAAACCCAGTGAATATTATTAGTGTTAGCAATCCTCTCTCTCTCTCTCTCTCTCTCTCTCTCTCTCTCGAACTTCATTTTAGTCACTTTTCTACCTGGATCTTACCTAAGTTTCCTGTTACGTTTCCTGTCATTTTACTTTTAAGCAAGCCTCCTCTCTCTCTCTCTCTCTCTCTCTCTCTCTCTCTCTCTCTCTCTCTCTCTCGTTCTTTAATTTAGTCACTTTTCTACATGGATCTTACCTAAGGTTCCTGTAGCGTTTCCTGCCAAAAAGAGTCGATACATTGCTGCTTCAGAGGAAATGGAGAATCGCTCGTACAATTCATACAGTTTTGTACCATTCAGTATTGTGATGGATACATAGAGGTAGGATTTCTTTCCCTTTACTAACTTATAGATTACATCATTTCCTGTGGCAATGTATATATTGAATGATATTTTATTTCATATGTGTATGCACAATAGATAGTTTTCAGTAGATCCATATTAACAAGAGTTATTTCCCCTTGGCCGCCATCTTGGTAATTTTCCCTCTTTTTCCTACCAAATATAAAAGGGTGTAGCAGATATATTTGAGGGAAATCTTTATGGAATACACATTTTGAAATAAAGTAGGCTCTAACAAATGTATATTTTTTAGAAAAAAAAAACAAAGCTTACTTGCCCGAAATTGCTAGTTTAAAAAGTTAAAGTTGGTTTAATTTTAAAGGAATATGGTCCTATTGACCCCCAATATGGCGGCCGACGGGAAATAATTCTTGTTAATTTGGGTCTACTGAAAACTATCTATTTCCGTAAGTTCTAAAATTTTAAGTGAACTTCTCGTTATCTATAAGAAATTTTCTTGGATTATTTTAAAGAAGAAGGTATGGTTTCCATACAAATTTTGCCCTGTGATTTTCTAAAAAATGAAACTGGTGTAAAAGTTGAAAACTCATGCTTTTTAAATAACTGAAATTCAATGCAGAAAAATCATACAAATAATTTTTCTAACATGTGTTTTTAAAAGCTAATTATGACGTCATAAACATGTGTATTTTCCCGTATTTTCTTAAAAAGTTGCAGAAGACACCAATTTTCAATGGAATTTTCTTTTAGATAACATTGTCCACAGGTATCGCCCACAAAGATCTTGAGATATGTGATTTGTTATTGAATTTTGCACAAAATATCAAAAAAATTAACGTGGGCAATGGCTGTGGACACTGTTTTCTAAAGGAAAATAACCCTTGAAATGTGCCATTTTGAGGCTTTTTCTGTTGAAAATAGAGAAATGCTTCACAGTAATTACGTTATATTTGCAGGATGATAAACCTTCATGTCACATTCTTTCCTGATTTATTAGAGTCATTTATTTAACTAATATTTACGCCAGTTTCCAAAACTTTTCGAAGTCATTGCATTTTTAAGGCGCAGTAAAGCTAAAACCATACCTTCTTCTTATTATTTTAATTTCTATTTTCCTTTTTTTTTTTTTTTTTTGTTTTCTTTCCTGATTATGTTATGACTTCATGAACCAATAAATGATAGAATTAGAATTAATATCGTCGAATACATTTATCCAAATCAAAAGAGCAACATTTTTTCACCTACAATTTTAAACATTTCTACATCTTGTTGTAAATCGAAGATCAAAATTTGTATGAATTTTTTATTTACCAATCCAGACGTTCTGTTCTGGTGTACCGAAACCATTCTTATATTCTGCCCAATTCCTTCTGAAGTCCAAAGACCCATCTACTCGTTTCTGTATTACCTAAGACAGACATGAAAATGCATTCATTCAGTTGTTATGGTGAGGATCTAAAAAAAAATCGTAATCTTTCATAATTTATTGAACAACGTACATCAACCGTTACAACTTTTTTAAAACTTATGATGGATGCTACCTGGTAGATAAAACAAATCACTTAATATGATCTTTTTTTCTATTTTTAGCTAATTATCTTTTTATTTTATAATTAGATACCGTCCACCCTCCACCCATTGTCAACATGTCGCAGTAAACTCTGATTGGACAATTCCTGGCCCCATAGAGGTAAATCTCGTACAAGCCGGAAGTAGTGTGGCCATCTTTTCGAAGGTCTTTACAGTCCATGGGAAGAGCTGGAACAGAAAAAAACATAATGAACTGAAATGTTATTGTAAAGCGATAAGAAACAGAGGTCGATGTCAAAAATCTATAAGTAATACAAATATATGAAGAGGGCATAAATCTTGGACACCTGGGAATTCCAGAAGTGGGGTCAGGCACAAGAATTCAGAAGGTGATACAGTTAGTTTAATAACCACATTAATCATGATAGCAAGATATATAAACTAGTACCTATGTTTCAACGTTTTTGAATATACTATATTACAAATATTTTCATTCAGTGTATCTTTTTTTATGAAATCTGTTAGAAATAAAAGACGTTCAAATACCTATAGCACAAGCAAAATCTTGTCACCGCGCGTTAGAATACACAGAAGGAACTATATGTATTTTCAATAATTTCAGAACACCAAAATGTACATTTTTTAAACATAATTTAATTTAAAAAAACCTGTTACATTAATGTAAAAATACAACAAATGTGAAGGTATGTTATAATTTTTCCGTCTTTTTCTTTTTTAAAAATCTTTTTGCCATTTCCCGGTCCTTTTCTACTGTTCTACGCGGTCGGTTTATCCGATTTCATCAGCAATAAATGATAAGATATATATTGAAAACATAAAATAAGTAAATAATAATAATAAATAAAGTACTTAGAAGCAGAAAGAACAACGTCTCGTAGTAGCGCAGTAGATTGTGTTGAACAATCTACTGCGCTACTACGAGACGTTGTTCTTTCTGCTTCTAAGTACAAATATAAATATCAGAGCTTAAATGTTTTACGGGAAACTATTGGTTAACTGTTGTCTGTTTTGTATTTAAAAGCAGCCGATATATCGACTTTGAATTTGAAACATTAGATTATAGTGCTAGCTTTGAGATAGGGCTAAATATGGAAAGAAAACGATTTCATACGGATTGTTAGTCCTTTTCTTTTATAGTTAAATTTGAATACTCATCACTCACTGTCGGTTGAAAGGGAATATTTTCTCCTCCTAGGCTCCTGGTTCTACCTTTGGAAACTGATTTCTTGGGTTTGTATTTTTGGCCTTTTCACAGATGTTCACAGATGGAATATGACAAGCTTTAAAATCTAATTAAACAATACAAAAAAAAAACACAAATCAAAAAATGCCCTGAAAAACAGGATCAGGTTCCGTAGGTATTCCCTCTTGGGCTGGCATTCCCGTCGTGTGCTTCTTGACACACACAGACAGACAAAAAATCCGTATATAATTCAGTGTAAAAGTAATTGGACAAAACTTTATTTATTCGATTTAAAAAAATAAAACAAAGAAATACAAGAGATCAAAACCTTGAGGTTAAAAATACAAGCTTTTCGCGTGTGGATACCGAAAAGTATTTATAGGATCTGTACCTAAAGTTGTAAACTTAAAGATAAAAAAACAGATCACCAACACAGCGGCAGTAAATTAATTGGTTGACATGTTTCGACCAGGGACGGTCGTCATCAGAACAACCAAGCATAAAAATTCATCTACTAAAAATTAAAAAAAAACAATTAGTTAAAAAAAAAAACTCAGCCAGCATTTGACTCAATGATAAATTGTATTTGCTGACACGGTCTTTGTTTTGACTATAGAACTTACGAAATGATGACTTTGAACGAGACTGTTGATATTCTTGTTTCATCAACTTGATTGTAAATAATTAGCCTCGTTTTAGAAATTGTTTTACGTAGAGTATGCTCTTGGGTACCGATTCAACTGATATATTCAAACTCTATATACAGGTTCTGAAGAAAAAATGCTGCATAAGTAAGGGAAGTCATCATTAACGTCCTTTTCAAGTAAAATATCCAAGTATGAAACAGATGTGTCAGACTCTGTAGTATCTTTTATCTCAAGCTTAGCAGGATATATCGTATCGACATAGGAATGAAAATTATCATTGTTATTTGACAATATGTCGTCGATATATCTAAATATCGAGTTGAAGGCCACAGCAAGTGTTTTCTTCTTTTCACGCATAAAATTGTGCACAAATTCTGCTTCATATGAATATAAAAATAGGTCTGCTCATAACGGAGCGCTATTGGTACCCATGGGAATTCCAATAAATTGTTGGAATATACATGATCTCCAAAAACATAGATATTGTCAATCAGAGACTCAAGCATCTCTGATGTCAATTTCAGAATACTTATGTGTGCAATCAAAATGTGTTTTAACAAAAAAAATTTTGCAAGAATTTTAATAAATCAGTTTTGTAGTGAAATATTAATATTCAATGTGCATTTATTTGTTTTATACTGAAATTGACTACAAAATGTTCCGTCTACCTGATTCATACAAAGAATCTCGGTGGGTGTGAGCGTTCGCAGGGGATGCTTACTCCTAAGCGGTACCTGATTCCATCTCTTGGTGAATGTCTTCAGGTATGAGTATCTATTCCTCCTTTTTATCTCAGTGCCGTATTTAAGCTTCAGTAATTCATTCTTAGCAATGGTCTTTAAGATCAAGTATTTATGCACAGTCTATCAATTTATTTTTAAAATTCTACCTCAGCAACGATCTTTAAAATAAAGAATTGATGTACAGCCTACAAAAATAAGTTTTTAAAACATCTGAAGTAAGCAAACGTAATATGAGTCACTCCTTCATAGACAGAATCTTTTTATCTTTAATCATAGTGTCTTATTTGTATCTGCAAAGAGAATTTTTACATCTGATGTAGGCATCTTTTTTAGCGAAAGTGTAAAATATGTTTTTCTGAGCAATTAGTCAGCATTAATATTAGATTTGAAAGGAGCAGAAAAAAATTATAACATAATGGCATAAATAAGAAAGAACTACTTACTTGAATGCAAAAAATGAAATAAAAGAGAATTTCCAGTCTTAATGGAAACAGATACGAAAAAAGACATTGACACCTTGTCGGAATTGATTGAAAGTATCAGATCCATGTAAAAGTCACGTATAAAAAAAATTGAGGGGCAATATGAAAACCATCTATCCTTCTGTGTTTAATAATCCAGAAGTGAAAGAGGAACTAGATAGATTACATGATCAGTACGTACTGGTCCCTGCCGACAAAGCAGGTAACAACATTGTCTTCGTTTGTAAGGCTCATTTTATAAATTGTATTTTAGAAGAACTTGGGTTTAATTCTGGTAATTCTACTTATACTCTTACTTCCCTTTCTAAGGAAGAAATTCTTTAAAATCATATATCGGTTTTAAATATTTTTAATATTCCACAGAGCCAAAATGAATTTGAACTACCATATATATATATTGGATTCGGAAACATCAAAAAAATACTTACAAACAAAGATACATTGCGGGTTCGAGCAACAAAGCCTCTTTCGTTACTCCTCACTAAAATATTGACAGTAGTTAAGGGAAAGCTTCAAGAGTACTGTGCAACAATATATTCAAAAGTGATGTGAATCAAATGTGGATACTCAAGAACTTTTGGACAATTTGAAATCACAAGATTTTACCAAAATCAACATCTTCGAAACTTATGACTTTTCAACTACACAACCATTCGCCATGATAAATGAAAGTCCAGGCTTTATGACATCATTGACAGCTGCTTTTTTTAAAAATAAAAATAGAACTCGTAAATTTACTTATCTGGTCATTGGTCATTTGCAAAATTATTTTGTTAAAACACATTCTGATTGCACACACAAGTACTCTGAAGTTGACATCAAAAAGATGCTTAAGTTTCTGATTGAAAATATCTTTGTGGTTTTTGGAAATCAATGACATGTACATGTATTCCAAAAATCTATAGGAATTTCCATGGGTACCAATTGCACCCCGTTATGAGCAGACCTATTTTTAGACGGTGGCTCTATATATCCACTGGCTATTCCTTCTGGTATGGGCTATGAATAAACAATAGTGTAAACACACGGGGACCCTAGCGGAGATTTTTGCAGAGTCAAAACAATAAAAGTAGACTTGTTCCGGTGGTTGAAAATAAAATGTACACGGTTATCAAATACGTTCAATTTATTTCAGAGACATTTCGTAGATGGAATCAAAGCCTAATTCCTGATATTTTCTGTTACCAATATTTTTCGCTTCGTGAATATTCATTGTATTACGCTGAAATACAACTAACTCGCACACAAACGGACCTTCGTTTAGTCGTATGGTATGCAAACAACAGAAATCAATTCGTACACAATGTTTTCGTTTTTTTTTCTCACACGTGCAAAGGTACACATATTGTGTTAGTTTAAAATTACAATAATATTTAGTTAGAATATTTGATGAAAAATATTTGTAGATAATTGTTTCACTTTCTAAATCCAAAATCAAATAATTAAGGTCTTCCGTCTCCAACGGAAGACCTTCTTGTTATTCTTCGGTTTCTTTTTCCCTATTATTATTATTCTTACCGATTTTGTGCACGCGATTTCTCGTAAACTACTGGGCCGATTCTCATGAAACTTTCACATCTGATAGGTACTGATCTGAACCTTATTGGAAATTTTTTTCGTTGACGTCGTCACTTCCGGTCGTGAGATATGGCCAATTTTCTAATTTTAAAATGCAATTTTGTCTTGATTACTTAGCGAAAACTGCTTAAGATATGAAGTGAAGATTAATTGGAGATGATAGTTCATAATCTATAGCGTTGCAGAATCGCCTTTTCGTGCGTTGTCAGTACTTCCGGTCGATACCGGAAGCGAATTTAAAAAACGCAATTTTTCAACTTTTCTTTTTTAATATTTTTGTTTTTGATTTGAATAGAGACCCTTTTGCAGAAGCGAAATATGTAATTTGTTTGAAAATCGAAAAAGCCAATCTCGAGATATTTGCATTTGAAAACGCGAAGCGGCGATCCCAATGGCTAAATGGTTAGCGCGTTGGATTGTCACGCGGGCGACCCGGGTTCGATCCCCCAAATGACCAAAAAATTTTATCATTTTTTCTGCTCGAATTTTCGATATTATTTAATTTTAGACCATTTGGAACAATATAATTTAAACTTTTAAGCATATCTTGCGTAATTAGGGGTCACAAGGGGCCAGAATGTCACATCTTTGACGCTTTATAACTCGAAAAGGGGGAATATTCTGATAAGCAATATTGAACAAATGATGATCAGAATAATGTTCTAAACAATATGCATACTTTGAATTTTTGTAAAACGGCCCCATTAAGGACTTGTAGGAGTGGCCCTTAAATATTTTCATTTAGCATAGCTCAACAACGAATAGAAAT